AAGGAAGGAAGGAAGGAAGAAAGAAAGAAAGAAAGAAAGAAAGAAAGAAAGAAAGAAAGAAAGAAAGAAAGAAAGAAAGAAAGAAAGAAAGAAAGAGTGAGTCCCTGAGACCAATCTGCCACCTTCTAGATTTGTCCCTGAGTTGAGGCATCTCAGTGGGCTGCAGTGCCTGATTCCTTCAGAGAACATCTAACACCCCAACTCGGAGGGAGTTTCCTGGGCTAAGATTTCCCACTCCTTCTCATGGTGACTTCACAGCCACAAACACAGGATGGCCAGAGGGTGAGCGCCTACAGGACGTCAGGCTGCTAACCTGCAGGACAGCCCCATAACCTTCACTGTAAGGAAAAGCAGCAGTGGGGGGTGGGGGGTGGAGACTCCACAGTGGGCTTGAGCATGGTGGGCAGCAGGGAAGGAGACACACAATGGGACTGAACAGAGTGCTCGGTGATGAAGACAGGCAGACCTGTGTCGCCCAAGCCTGTTGCCACAGGGATGCTCCCAGACCCAGCTCTGCCTTCACTGCAGTCCACCAATTCTCTCCACTAAACACATGCCAAAGAGCATCCCAGATGCTCCTCCGATAGATACATAAGAAGTACACAGGGGAAACAAAGAAGGGAACAATCAATATATCAGGGACGCCAGAACAGAAGTCAGTAAGCAGGAAACAGCTGAATGCTGGGGGGTGGGGATGGCGGTGAGGGGGATTTCAGAAAGTTCCTTATGGCTGGGACATAAAGAGATGCTATGCTAGAGGAAAAGCTAAAGACCTGCAAACCATTCCATACCATTAAAATAGTCTGAGGAACATTACCCACATGTAGACAGAAACTTCAAAAGAAAACAATGGCTCCCAACGAGCTTAGACCAGTAAAAGGAAACAAGGTATCCAGGTAACTACTTCAGGCTTCTATTTTGAAAATGGATCCTAAGAGGAGACAGTCTAAGAAGCTAATCAAAGAGCAGGTAATGGGGGGAAATAAATGGTCTGCTGGCACTAAAAGCCTGTCCAATCGGCTCATAAACCCACCCAGCCGTCCACTGCACAGTGGGAAACACAGCCTCTCCACACTCCCCCTCCTGCCTGAGTCCCCAGCTACGGGGCTGCCTCTCCCTCGTCAAGGTCTCATTTCCTCTGGTTTCCCTGGTACAGAAGCCATACTTCACAATTTGAAAAAAAGCATTAAAAAGGCTCAACTCGGCCGGGCATAGTGGCTCAAGCCTGTAATCCCAGCACTTTGGGAGTCTGAAGCCGGCAGATCGCTTGAGCCCAGGAGTTTGAGACCAGCCTGGGCAACACAGCAAGACCCCATTTCTAAAACACACACACACACACAAATTAGCCAGGCACAGTGGTGTGCACCTGTAGTCCCAGCTACTCTGGAGAGTGAGGTGGGAATTGGAGAAGGTAAGCACAGTTGCAGATGGAGCCTCCTCCCAGCCTCTGCTACCCAGCCAGAATAGCAGCAAGTTCTCCTAGGGTGAGAAACATCTTCTGTAAATGGTCAGATAGTAAAGATTCTAGCCTCTTTCAGATAGTAAATCTTCTAGGCTGTAGGGTCTGAAACTCTGACGTTGGACCACAAAAGCAGCCATAGACAATATATAAACAAATTGGTGTGGCTGTGTTCTAATAAAGCTTTATTTATAAAAACAGGCTGTGGGCCAAATTTAGAATATAGTTTGTTGACCCTATAGCAGACTATTTGGCACCTGAACTTTCAAATCCGAGTTCACACCTTTATGATAACAAACCTTTAGTGTTACCCCACCTAGGTGTCAAAAATCTAATAAACTCATAGTCAGGGTCAATAAACATGAGTTTTACCCAGAAAAGGAATCTTCTTTGTCCTTGCCCAAGAAATCGCCTGGAGTTTTCCCAATGTTCCTCTGATTCCGAAGCCTCCAGGCACAAGAATACCACTGAAATCAATACAAAATGAGGGTAAACTTGACTATCCATTATTTTTTTTTAACTAGTGTTTTCAGCCATTCATGCAATGCTTGCTCCAATCACTAGTGACTATGCTCAAGCTCTATTTTCAGAATCAATCATATGACTTCACACCCTGAACTTTTTTTCTGAAATCTTCCCAATGTTATGAAGAAATTGTGACAATTTCTCACAACTGACCTCAATATATATTGTATGATAAGTCTTTGTGGCATCAGAGCGTACTAACTGGGAAACCCAATTCAATTAAGAATGGCACTGGGAAAAGAAACTGAATGAAAATAGGTTAAGGTTCTTTCAAAGCACTATTATAAAAAAGTTAAGATCTCTTACATCATCAGAAAGAGTTAAATTGGAAAAATCAGCCTAAGATTTCAAATGCTAATTAAGTAGTGGCAAATGAAAATTTCTTGGCTAGAAGACTTTAGCGACCTAGGCAAACACAACAGCAACACAGTTCAACAGAAAACCCAGGAGGATCATGCTAACCTCATGATGCAATGCTGCCCCCAAGAGTTCTGTCAATTACTTGCAAAATAAAACCTAAAATCTAAGACATGTGGAAAAGAAAATATAATCAAGAGAGAAAGGGCTGCTCTGTCAATGGAGTAGCTATTCTTTATTTCTTTACTTTCCTAATAAACTTGCTTTCACTTTACTCTATGGACTCACCCTGAATTCTTTCTTTAGCGAGAGCCAAGAACCCTCTCTTGGGGTCTGGATTGGGACCCCTTTCTGGTAACATCTTTCCAGCAACCACAGAAGGAACAATACTGAGTACGTGGTGGGGTCCAGTTACATCTTTCTTTTCTTTTTTTTTTTTTTTTGAGACAGAGTCTTGCTCTTGTCACCCAGACTGGAGTGCAGTGGCGCGATCTCAGCCCTCTCCAACCTCCGCCTCCTGGGTTCCAGCAATTCTCCTGCCTCAGCCTCCCGAGTAGCTGGGATTACAGGCGCACACCACCACGCCCAGCTAATCTTTTGTATTTTAGTAGAGATGGGGTTTCACCATGTTACCCACGCTGGCCTCGAACTCCTAAGCTCAGGCAATCCACCCACCTCAGCCTCCCAAAGTGCTGGGATTACAGGCATGAGCCACCACGCCCGGCCTCCAGTAACATCTTTCTAGCAAAACACGGAAGGAACAACACTGAAGAGACCCCGTACCCAAAGGAAAATCATCTGTGTGCACCAGTTGGCTGACTTTGGGTAAGTAGGGTGCATATACCCAGGTAAAGGATGGGATTGGGTTACAGGCCCAACTTAGCGGAGTTAGAGTCTCTCCTAAGACAGAGAGGGTTAAAAGCTCCTCTCAATAAAAGGCAAGGATGCTTGACTGACCTTGGGTTCGAGGTACAACTTAGGAAGGTTAGAGTCCTTCCTAAGGTTTAGGGGGTTAGAGGCCACTCTCAGTAAAGTCCCTCTCTGCTAAGAATGGGTTTGGCACTATGGGATGTTAACTGCTATTCTCTTTGGATTATTCTGCCTTGCACTCTTTGCTGATAGTTATGGGTGACAGAACTAGGCATGTACAGGACCATGGGACATGGGGAGCTTTTTCCTCTCCAAAAGGGGAAACTTGAGAGCTGATGAGACTCCTGGAAAAGATCCCTTCAGGACTGACAAGCAGCCACCTGAACTTTTCAGTGTCGCCGCAATGGGTGTGTCTTTCTCTGGACTCCCTGAGCGCTTTGCCTTCCCCAAAATGCCGCGGGCAATGCTTTTCTCCCTCTCTCTCCTTTCCTTTTCTTATCTTTTCTATTGCTCAAGGCGACCATCTTGCCCAGAGACAAGTTGAAATTCCTGGTCAGAGGTTGGATTAATGATGATGGGGCCCAACCGGGGACAAGTTTGAGCCTTGCCAGTAAGATACTGGGTACTAGGGAGAGTGGCTAATGTCGTTTTGTCACACATATTTTGCTCTGGCCAGAACGGGAAAAGATAATTTTCCTTTGTGTTGCAGCTTGGCCCCCAGGGCTGTGGTGCAGCCAGCCGGGTCACTAGGGCTGCTCAAGGAAAGGGAACCCAGAAGCCTAGCATACTGACAAAAGGCTAAGAATTTTTTACTAGTCAGACTTCTGGCTTCTCTCTGTGCAAATTGGTTGAATGAATGGTAAAAATCACTGTTTATCTCCTCTGTAAAGTTTTGATTAATGGTAAAAAGGATTTGTGAGGCTACTCTTAAGCTACAGTGAATCTGGTGTGCTTTGTGTGTCTTTCCGTGTTGTTCTGTTATAACGAGGGGTACCTTAGGATAGGATGTGGGCCTAGGACCCCTGTAAGCCTGCTGTTCAAGCCATCCCAGCAAACTGGTCAATCACAAACTTTGCTGTAGGTCCCTGAAGAAAAACTGGATAAGGGTTCCCTCTCATCTTGTTTCATGTCCTTGGGAGCTTGACCTTGTAACCATGTGGCAGTACTTTCTCTCGGTCTCCACCATCACAGTGGCAACCTGGGTTCAGGGTTCAATTCCTAGTTTAGGGGATAAGCCTTTCTGATTGATATTTGGGTGCTTACAACTACTGGATCTTCTTTCTGTCTGTGCATTTATATGTATTGTATGTGTGATGTAAAAAAAAAAAAAGCTTTAATTGGTTTAAAAATAGTAAGGCTTAAATCAAGTATTTTGTAAGAAAAGTAAAAATTGTAATGACTTTTAGTTCACATAACTTTAGTAATCTTTGGGTAATAAAAACAGCTTTAAAGATTATTGGGAAAATAAAGACATTTGGTCTAAATTAGGCAGGTCAGATTAGGTTTTCTCAATGCTTTAAGGTCATAAACTGCTTTGACTTTTGAAAATTGTTCAATTTACCTACTTTGGAGCATTAGATTCTAGATAAGGCCTGGGGACATGTTGAAAGTCATGCCCCCTAGCTATGCTAGAAAAGGTCAGACCTTATCTAGTGTCCTAGGCTCCATACCTAGTACATAATTAAAATTGCTTACTAACCAGATTTTTCACCAAAAGTAAAAGTTGCTGAGAGTTAACAGTGTAACCTGTAATTGAGACTACTGAAGAAACAGTTTTACATGCAAGTTGTAAAAGGAAAGTGAAATGTGTTTTTAGTAAAAGATTATAAGAAGGCATGGAAATGTGGATTTTTTTTTTTTTTTTTTTTTGCCTAGATTAAAAGGTTAAAGGATTGTTTTTTGCTTTGTGTTTTTGTTTTCAGATGAAGTTTCACTCTTGTTGCCCAGGCTGGAGTGCAATGGTGCAATCTCGGCTCACTGCAACCTCCACCTCCTGGGTTCAAACGATTCTCCTGTCTCAGCCTACCAAGTAGTTGGGATTACAGGCATGCACCACCACACCTGGCTAATTTTGTATTTTTAGTAGAGACAGGGTTTCACCATGTTAGCCAGGCTGGTCTCAAACTCCTGACCTCAGGTGATCCACCCACCTCAGCCTCCCAAAGTGCTGGGATTACAGGCGTGAGCCACCGCATCCAGCTAACGGATTCTTTTAAGTTAGATAAGATAAAGCTGAAAGTTTGAGCAAGTTGTAGAAGGTTTGTGAAAGAGTAATCTTATAAAAGAAATTATGCGTGTGGACATTGGCTGAAGTTAAAGGTATATTCAGGTTTTCCATAAATTGAACATTGAAATGAAAGCACAACAGATTTCTCTTAGAGCACTGATCTGCTCTTTAAGAGAAACTTGTAAAGGAGCCGGGCGTGGTGGTTCATGTCTGTAATCCCAGCACTTTGGGAGGCTGAGGTGGGCGAATCACTTGAGGTCAGGAGTTCGAGACCAGCCTGGCCAACATGGTGAAACCCCATCTCTACAAAAATACGAAAAAAATTAGTCAGGCATGATGGCAGGTGCCTGTAATCCCAGCTACTGGGGAGGCTGAGGCAGAATTGCTTGGACCCAGGAGGTGGAGGTTGCAGTGAACCAAGATCACACCACTACACTCTAGCCTGGGTGACAGAGCAAGACACTGTGTCTCAAAAAAAAAAAAAAAAAAAAAAAATCAAAAAAAAAAAAAAAAAAAAACTTGTAAAGGATTATAGAAGGTTTGTAAAAATCTTACCTTATGGTCAAACTAATTAAAATTGGATAGATTTATCTATAAGGTTTTATTAAAAATTGGGTTTGACATCAATTTAATGCACTAATACAATGGTGAAGTTTGGTATATTTGGTATAAAAATTATACAAAAAGCACTGTCAAATATGAAATGGTGTTTGGCTTTCTTTGGGCTGTATTTGTATAAACATGTTATTGGTATGTGTTCCAAAATTATGAGAAACTTCTATAATTCTAATATGACTTAGTGTATGTTATTAATAATTATCATTGTTATGTAAAATTGTTGTAAGCCACAGATGTAACAAATTCCTAGTCAATTGTGGCTTTAAGAGTGGCTGCCCTAAAACATTTTGTCACCCACAGACAATTGTATTGTTTTGGTACTCTTCAGAAGGTAGTTAATAATCAACTATAGAACTCTAACAGGTGTTCTTCAATGCAGGTTTCTGATCACTTTGGAGATTGTGACAGCAGAATAGAGGAAAATCTTTCAGGACTCTCATGGAGAGCTGAAATATTCATGACTATCAAGTAGAACAGGAGTTAGCTCCATGGAATGAACTAATAAAAAATTAATATTTTTTACTTTGCTTAAAATGTTGCTGATCCTTTTTGTTTTATTTTTCAGAGTCAAGAAAACTGTTCTTTTGAGCTATATGCAGCTTATAACAATTGAGTAAAGTATACTCCTGTGAACAAAATTTGGAGCATATTTGTTTCTTTCTACTTGATTTGTCCAGAATTTGGAAACTATTTGTGATGATTCTTAACTTATGGCAATATAGTTATTTGCATAAGTGCAATAAGAATCTTTTTTATTTTGCAACAGGACACAATTGGAGGGAGAAACTGGTTATATTACCAAGGCTTTGACTGGAATGGTGTGCTTTCCTGTAAAGAATCAAACTTGAATTATAAAGCCAATACAAGCCCCTTGGGAAAACTGGCCTCATACCTTGTCTACACAGTCCCTGTACAGGGTTTCTGACCTGTGGTAACTAAAGAATGTCACTTTCTGACAGGTCCAGGAGCCTCAAGTTATCTTGGGACCTCAAAAGGAGAGGAATTTACCCAATTCATAGGTATTTGAGGGTACAAACCCATGGCTGGGCTTAGCTTTAAAAAAGATCTTATCTGAGATTCCTTATGGAATAAGGCTCCATCAAAGCCAATTTTAAAAGCCCATGTGAGAAATAATTATTCTTGCTGCACTTTATAGAAATAATCAGGCCAAGTATAATAAAGCAAACTGTTCTTACCATGATTTGTCTTTAGTAAAAATGGGAAACTGGAGAGAGAAAAAATTATGTTCCAAGAACTATGGTCTACCTGTTATTATTACAGATTCTAGATGCATTGGTTGTTTTTGAAGTTTTTTCCTGCAATTTAGACTGACCCTGCTTATTCCTGTGAGACAATCAGTGATCTGTGACTGCAGCTCAGAAAAAAACAAGAGCAGGGCTGGGCGTGGTGGCTCACGCCTGTAATTCCAGCACTTTGGGAGGCCAAGGCGGGTGGATAACAAGGTCAAGAGTTCAAGACCAGCCTGGCCAACATGGTGAAACCCATCTTTACTAAGAATACAAAAATTAGCCAGGAATGGTAGTGTATGCCTGTAATCCCAGCTACTCGGGAGGCTGAGGCAGAAGAATTGCTTGAACCTGGGAGGCGGAGGTTGCAGTGAGCCGAGATCATGCCATTGCACTCCAGCGTGGGAGACAGAGCAAGACTCCATCTCGGGGAAAAAAAAAAAAAGAGGGATGGGTAATGTAAAAATTGGGATCAGTGTTCTAATTCTAATTCTAATTCTAATTGGGATCAGTATTCTAATTCTGGGCATGTACTGAAATCAGCTAGCAACCGCATATCAGTTTGGTTCCAATAGTTGCCCAGTTCACGGAAAGCCTTCTAATTTAGTTTACTTGGGGTAATTTTTTGCTTTACTGTTGTGGAATATATTGCTATTGTACTCTTTGTGTAGGAATGCAGAATAAGCTTACTCAATGTTTTCTTAAATTAAACATTTATTAATCTTCCAGATATCACCTTTTGTTGGAACTCAGAGTTGTGAATGGCCCTCACCATCTGACGCTTTCTGACTGACCTCTTCTCTACCCCAAATACAAGAAACTCTAATAGTTAGGGAGGAATGTCATTGCCCCTATTCAACACGAAGAAGTTACAGAAGATGGAGCTTTGTCCCTCTGCAACCCTTAGTAATAAGAGTTCTCTTATAAAAGGGAGAGGGGAAATGTTGAACCAGAGCAACTCCATCTTGAATAGTGGCTGGGTAGAATAAGGCTGAGACCTACTGGGCTGCATTCGCAGATAGTTAGGCATTCTAAGTCACAGGATGAGATAGGAGGTCAGCAAAAGATACAGGTCATAAACACTTCATTGATAAATCAGGTTGCAGTAAAGAAGCCGGCCAAAACCCATCAAAACCAAGATGGCAATGAGAGTGACCTCTGGTCATCCTCACTGCTACACTCCCACCAGTGCCATGACAGTTTACAAATGCCATGGCAACATCAGGAAGTTACCCTATAAGGTCTAAAAGGGGGAGGCATGTATAATCCATCCCTTGTTTAGCATATAATCAAGAAATAACCACAAAAGGGGCAACCAGTAGCCCTCAGGGCTGCTCTGCTTGTGGAGTAGCCATTCTTTCATTCCTTTACTTTCCTAATAAACTTGCTTTCACTTTTTAAAAAGAGAGAGAGAAAAAAAAGCTGTCATTCTTATACTTTAACTTTGTATACATAAGATTTATCTCTGCATCTTTCAGGAGAATCAACACACTTTCCCTCCAGTACAGTATCCCCATCCTCCCCAAATAAAACCATTTCTATGCACATGCCACCAGCATTAACATGGCACATTTCCAATCAACGCATATGATGGTGGCACAACCACCTGCAAAGACCACAAGTACTCCAAACTACCTTCCAAAATGCATGAAAGTTAGCAATTAGGGTAGACTGAATCATTACAGAAAAAGTACAATGGTCCTGTCCTAACTGGTGTGCATGGGCCCCGGTACTCACTCAGCTTTGCATAGCTTCTGCCAAGCTTCGTGAAATTTCACAGGGTCCTCGGCTTCAGTGATCTTCTCCAGATCAATGGAGTCTATGTACTAAAAAACATACAACAGATAAAAGGAGTATTTAAGAAAAATAAACACTCAAAAATACTACAGCCATCCAATACTATGACACATTATTCAATAATTACTTATTATGCAAACACTGTACTGGGCACTAGGGATAGAAAACATAGTCTCTGTTTTGTGGCTCTTATCATCTTTCAGAAAGATTACAAAACCAGATAAATGGGCATCCACACTATACTATGATAATGGCTATGACAGACAAAGAAGAGAACGATGCAGAAGTAACTAGGGGTTAACTGCGTGGGGTGGCACGTGCCTGTAGCCCCAGCTACTTGGGAAGCTGAGGCGGAAGGATCCTTTGAGCCTGGGAGGTCCAGGCTGCAATGATCCCCGATCGTGACACTGCATTCCAGCCTGAGTGACAGAGTGAGACCCTGTCTCAAAAAAAAAAAAAAAAAAGCAACTGGGAGATCACTAGAACTGGACACTGGAGGAAAGACAGGAAGGATCGACATCAAGGAAGAGCTCTGGGGAGGTAATGTTCAAGAAGCCAGCCGAGAGGAGAGCAGAAGCAAGATAAGCATATGTGTGATGGGACACAGCAGGGAAGGCGTGCGGGAGACAAACAGAGGCGGGGAGAAGGGTATGAAATCTCCAGCAGGCCAGGTGCATTGGCTTACGCCTGTAATCCCAGCACTTTGGGAGGCTGAGGCAGGCGGATCATCTGAAGTTAAGAATTCAAGACCAGCCTGGCCAACATGGCAAAATCCCGTCTCCACTAAAAACATAAAAATTAGCTAGGCGTGGTGGTGGGTGCCTGTAATCTCAGATACTCGGGAGGCTGAAGCAGGAGAATCACATGAACCCAGGAGGCAGAGGTTGCAGTGAGCTTAGATTGTGTCACTGCACTCAAGCCTGGGCAACAGAGCAAGACTCCATCTCAAAAAATAAAAAGAAATCTCCAGCAAAGGAGCCACTTATATGAAACCTCAGAGGAAAAAGACAGAAAGTGGTAGCCACTCTGGGACCCTCAAAAAAGGCCCCACCCAGCGAGAGGACAGACCTGATTAGTTGGAGGAAGGCAAGGGACGAGGCTGAGAAGCCATGACACAGAGTTGACACTTGAAGGCACTTGCAATGGTTTGAATGTCTGTGATCCCCCAAAATTCCTATGTTGAAATCCCAACTCCCAAAGAAATGGTATTAGGAGGTGGGTGGGGTCTTTGAGAGATGATTAGGTCAAGAGGGCAGAGCACATAGGAATAGGATTAGTACCCCTATAAAAGAGGCCCCAAAGACCTCCCTCACCCGTTCTGCCACATGGGGATATAACCAGAGGTTGGCCCTCTGCACCCAGAAGAGGGCCCTCACCAGAGCCCGGTTACATGCTGGCACCCTAATCTTGGACTTTCAGCCTCTAGAATTGTGAGAGAGAAATGGCAGTTGTTTGTAAGCCACCTGATCTATGGTACTTTGTTACAGCAGCCTGAACAGACTGAGACACCACTGAAAGATCTTAAGTAAAGGGATGACAGGAACAAAGAGAACCGAGAAAGATTTTACAAAGATCACTCTGGTAGAGTGTGGCAAAGACAGGGAAGACTGGCAGCTGGAAACCAGCCTGGAAGCCGCTGCAGCTGCAGCAAACCAGGAGAGAGAGACAGATGCAGCTCAACCTTAGAAGGAAGATGACAAGGCAACAATTCAAATAGTACTTAGGAGAAGCTAATGTCAATGAATCCTATCAGATGAAGCATCATGTGCACCAATTCCTATGTATATAACAGCCCCTCTCTATCTATATTAGTTTAGTATTTCTTCTGTAAAAATGACTATCTGGCCAAGTGCAGTGGCTCACGTCTATAATCCCAGCACTTTGGGAGGCCAAGGCAGGTGGATCACTTAAGGCCAGGAGTTCAAGACCAGCCTGGCCAACATGGCGAAACCCTGTCTCTACTGAAAATACAAAAATTAGGTGTGATGGCGGGCACCTGTAATCCCAGCTACTCGGGAGGCTAAGGCACAAGAATTGCTTGAACCCAGGAGGCGGAGGTTGCAGTGAGCCAAAATCGCACCACTGCACTCCAACCTGGGAAACAGGGCGAGATCCTGTCTCAGAAAAGAAAAAAGAAAAGAAAAGAAAAAAAGACTATCCAAATAAACTTTAAGATACAAATTTTTAAAGGCTTTATAAAATGTATATGTCATGGCAATTTTTCTATTGTTGTTTTCTTTTTTTATATAACGGGGCAGGCAACTTGGAGGAGTGGGAGGAATGGGAAGTAAACTATTCCTTAGAAAGCCAAAAATAAAAAGTGATTAGGGGCCGGGCATGGTGGCTCATGTCTGTAATCCTAGCACTTTAGGAGGCCAAGGCAGGAGGAATTGTTTGAGGAGTTCAAGACCAGCCTGGGCAACATAGCGAGACCCCATCTCTACAAAAATTAAAAAATAGGCCAGGCACGATGGCTCACGCCTGTAATCCCAACACTTTGGGAGGCCAAGGCAGGTGGATCACCTGAGGTCGGGAGTTCCAGACCAGCCTAGCCAACATGAAGAAACCCTGTCTCTACTAAAAATACAAAAATTAGCCGGGCATGGTGGTGTGTGCCTGTAGTCCCAGCTACTCAGGAGGCTGAGGCAGGAGGATAATCGCACCACTGCACTCCAACCTGGGAAACAGGGCGAGATCCTGTCTCAGAAAAGAAAAAAGAAAAGAAAAGAAAAAAAGACTATCCAAATAAACTTTAAGATACAAATTTTTAAAGGCTTTATAAAATGTATATGTCATGGCAATTTTTCTATTGTTGTTTTCTTTTTTTATATAACGGGGCAGGCAACTTGGAGGAGTGGGAGGAATGGGAAGTAAACTATTCCTTAGAAAGCCAAAAATAAAAAGTGATTAGGGGCCGGGCATGGTGGCTCATGTCTGTAATCCTAGCACTTTAGGAGGCCAAGGCAGGAGGAATTGTTTGAGGAGTTCAAGACCAGCCTGGGCAACATAGCGAGACCCCATCTCTACAAAAATTAAAAAATAGGCCAGGCACGATGGCTCACGCCTGTAATCCCAGCACTTTGGGAGGCCAAGGTGGGCAGATCACCTGAGATTGGGAGCTGTCTCTTATACACATCTAGATGTGTATGCCAGGATGGTCTCGATCTCCTGACCTCGTGATCCGCCCTTCTCGGCCTCCCAAAGTGCTGGGATTACAGGCTTGAGCCACCGCGCCCGGCCTAAAATAAAAAATTTTTAAACTGATTAGGAAAGGAGGCTAAAAAGAAGAGAGAGAAACAGCAGCTAGGTCTCCTAAGCTGGTGTCAAAGTGGAAGTCATTAAATTTCCTTAACATATAAATGGATCTTTTTACTCATCATACAAAGTTTTTGCCATTTAAGTCAAGATGATAAGGCTTGCTTACACAATGATATACTCATATTGAATATAATTAAATATAAATGTGAGATAGATATATAAACATACGTATCCAACTGGTAACAAGTGGGATATCAGGGAGGAGGAATCTGCTTTCTGCATTTTAGACTTATGCTTTATTTTGTTTTGCTTTGTTTTTTGGAGACAGGGTCTCAATCTGTCACCCAGGCTGGAGCGCAGTGGTGCAATTATAGCTCACTGCAGTATCAAACTCCTGGGCTCAAGCAATCTTCCTGCCTCAGCCTCCCAATTAGCTGAGACTACAGGTGCATGCCATCACACCTGGCTAACTTTCAAGATTTTATAGAGATGAGTTCTCCCATTGTTGCCCAGGCTGGTCTTCAACTCCTGGGCTCAAGCAACCCACCTGGCTCAGCCTCTCGAAGGGCTGGGATTACAGGTGTGAACTACTTCACCTGGCTTATGCTTTGTTTAAATGTTTTACTCTAAACATGTACTACTTCCGTTCTTATATGGAAGAATATACTCAAGCTATATTAAGATAACTACACCTCTGTTATTCCACAATACTGAGTTTCCAAAACAAATAATCACTGTTTGCTAGCTATCATTCTTCCAAGTTAGAGAGGGGAATATAGTATTTTTAAAATCTAGATTCCATTCCAATGCTAAAGGAAAAAAACATCCTATTATTTTCTTGTTAGCCAACTACGAGGTACTTGAAGGAGCATGACAAGCATGCTCATTCATCTGAATGTGCAAAGCCTAATTTCAGAAATGTGCCTTAAACCTACATGTAGAAAACAGTTTACACAGCCCAAGCACAGTGGCTCATGCCAGTAATCCCAGCACTTTGAGAGGCCAAGACGGGCAGATCACCTGAGATCAGGAGTTCGAGACCAGCTGGCCAACGTGGTGAAACCCCGTCTCTATTAAAAATACAAAAATCAGCTGGGCATGGTGGTGGAAGCCTGTAATCCCAGATACTCAGGAGGCTGAGGCACAAGAATTGCTTGAACAGTGAAGACAGAGGTTGCAGTGGGCCAAGATCGTGCCACTGCACTCCAGCCTGGGCGGCAGAGGGAGACTCTGTCTCAAAAAAGGAAAAAAGAAAACCGTTTACACAGCAAGCCTAGCTGCTGCCCTTGGAAAGGCTTGCTACAAGATTGAGCCTTGACTGGCTTCTGGAAACTCTGACTTTGGGAGGGTTCCCATCATTCCAAGAACTGATAGGAGAAGCTCACTGCGCTGAAAGTGTCTGTACAGACAACATAGTTTCTACTGCATGCTTTCCTTCTGGGAGGCTGGCATTTTGGGAAGTGTTAAGCAAAGGGTGCGTATGTGACCAGCCCCCAGTAAAAACCTTGGGCTTCAAGTCTTCAACGAGCTTCCTTAGTAGATGGCAGTTTGCATGTATTATCACAACTCACTGGACTCTACCAGGGGAGGGTGCTTAGAAGCTTGCGCCTCGTTACCCCCAGACTTCACCCTGCACGACTTTTCCCTGGCTGATTTTGCTTTGCATTGTCTGGCTATAATAAATCTTAGCTATGAGTATAACTATATGCTGAGTCCTGTGAGTTCTTCTGGTGAATCATAGATCCTGGAGGTGATCTCAGGGACCCTTTAACAAAACTTGCCCCTCTGGAACATGTGCTATTGGCATGAATTACTGAGATAGCCAAAAGACCAGGCCAGGACTCACCATCAGATTCAACTTGTGGTTGATGGCCAGGGCTGAGTGTTCCAGGGCTTTGAACACAGAGGCGTAGCAGTCTCTGAGCTTGGTGTATTTGCCAACCAGGGCTATGGAGCATATTTTCTGTAACCTTTCATACCTGGGAAAGAAAACAAACTCAAAGGTTATATGCACATAACAGAACATCACAGACAGAACAATGGCAGCTGCTGCTCTTATTCCAAGGCACTTTTTAAAACCTTAGGAGCAGCTGTAGTCCCAGCTACTCGAGGCTGAAGCGAGAGAATCACTTAAGCCCAAGAGTTTGAGACCAGGCTGGGCAACATAGTTAGACCCCATCTCTAAAAAAAATAAAAAAATTAGCCAGGCGTGGCGGGGCATGGCTATAGTCCCAGCTACTCAGGAGGCTGAGGTTGGAGGATCACTTGAGCCCAGGAGGTCAAGGCTGCAGTGAGCTATGATCACACCACTGCACTCCAGCCTGGGCGACACAGTGAGACACTGTCTCAAAAAACAAAAAAGAAATCCCAACGTTGGCTTACATAAGCAGGTACAGATAAAAGTTCAAGTATATCAGAGAAAAAGTTAAAAGCATTAAAAGTACAAATTGAAAAGCTATCCCAATCTCATAAATACGAGCTGTTCTTACATTGGTTAATAAGGTGACATTGTATAAGAAAATGCATTCTGCGTGTCAATAGAAAACATTCCAATATTAACTTTGTAAGGTGACATTGTGTAAGAAAATGCATTCGAAGTGTCTACATTTAAAATGGTTACATTCCCAGCTGACCCACAAAAGTCTGGTTATTCATGGCATGCCTGAAGAATGGTGCTAAGAGAACGATTTAAAATATTACTAGCCATTTAGATCATTTTTATGAGAAAAATTCCATTCTACAGAAGACACTCAATCACATTTTACCATTAGAGACACAATTTTTAGTGTTGCTTTTGTCAGGAAATCTGTTCAAAGAACATGAAAAATATCTGGTCTGGTATTAGGTACGTGGAAATGTCATCTTGGGGCTGAAGATGTTTTAGGGCTTTGAAGCAAACCCTTCCCCAAACACCTTAGAAAAATGTTACCACGATGACGAATATCCCTCTTCAATATCAACATCTGCAAAGAGTGGCCGGGCACGGTGGCCCACACCTGTAATCCCAGCACTCTGAGAGGCCAAGGCAGGTGGATCACCTGAGGTCAGGAGTTCGAGACCAGCCTGGCCAATATGGTGAAACCCCGTCTCTACTAAAAATACAAAAATACAAAAA